ATCCGATCTTGATAAAACTTGGATTCTGGTGCCTAGAGATGTCAACTCAAATTATGAAACTAATTTCAGAATTCTAGCTACACTCCTTCACCCTCAAGGAACTAGGTTTCCATTTAAGCCAATAATATATACCATATATTTAAATGTAATGGATTTTTGTATAAATTACAATCATGTGTTTAATTAACTAAACTAATTAAATATAATTATTTTGTATCATAATCGTTTCTTTGTTAAAATTTATAATAATAGTTAGCGCTTTGGAAATGTATTAAACAATTTTTTTGAGTCAATTATAGTCACAACCATTGATATTACATATAGTTATTTAGTCTTAATTATAATAATTAATATATAATATATTTATAATAATATATATTATAATACATATTAAAAACAACCTTCTACCATTTATTCATTTGTATTGAAATTATTCTAATGAAAACTTTAAAAATGTAATTTGTTTTTTAATCACAAACATTAGACCTAAATGTTTTGAAAATGCTTATGGTAAATAATCTCATTAAATACTTATGCAATGTCATTATAAATGCCAAATTGTGAACATCGATGTAATTTTATTAAAATTTTAGTATATTTTTATACTCATTTATTGCATTTTATTATCTAATTATTTTTGTATAAATTATAAATAAATTATTTTTAAAATTAAACTTTTATTGGTATAATAAACTTTTGTTTTTAGAAAATATACTTTGCTTTTAAAACATTAATAAGTATTTAATGAGATTTATTCAAATTTATTATTACTAATACATTAATAATTTGAAATTATTAAGCAATTTATTTACCATAAGCTTTAACAACCATCCAGTATTCAATTATCATGTGTATAGCAATTATATCACAAACAATCTTACAGCGGGCCTATCCATCCTTACTATAATTTACGTCGCTTGTCATAATTTCTGGGGGGGGAAACACAGACTTTTAGCCCCCTATGAATTTTTATGTATTTTTTTAAATCAATTTTATTTAAAATTTCAAAATAAAAGCTATTAGGTATAGAAATAATCAAGATTGGGTTCATACATATAGTAATAATACATTGTAAAATCGATGGTAAGTAACTCGTTACTAACATTACTTTAATAATTAATATTTACCTGATTAATAATTAACTGAATCTTTCTAATTTTTATATCTAGTAGCTTTTATTTTGATATTTTAAATAAAATTCATGAAAATATACAAATAAAATTCATAGGGGGCTAAATGTTTGTGTTTATTGCCCCCATAAATTATGACAAGCGACGTAAATTATAGTAAGGATGGATAGGCCCGCTGTAAGATTGATCACAAACATATCTAACAAACCAACAAATAAAACAAACTTCATATTTAATAACTAATATCACAGAATATTCTTTAAGAATATTCTGCGGTTTTATTATTTCAAATTCTGTCGGAGTTTACACTACAGACGACTATATCGTTAATTTAATGATCAATTTTATGCACAATTATTGCAATATATCCCTAATAGTGGACAGACCTTTACAACCCGTCGGTATCCCTCGGCCTCTCTCACCAATCGTAAGATGAATCGCATTCAATGATTGGCTGATATGTTTCGGTCTTAATATTTTTAATGATATCGTTTACGGCTCGATATTCGTTGTAATTATTATAGACGGGCATCTCATTTAACATCTAGGACAAAGTGAATAAAAATTTACATTAATGTAAATTACAAACACTAGTAAAGTTTACCTTAAAGTGCCGTTTAATGGCCGACAAATCCCAGTTACCTTCCGGTGAGATCAGATTGTATTGGTTTCCGAGTTTTACGCTGTTTTGATACGCTATAAAGTTTTGATAATAATTAAGGTAAAAATCTTTAAAATTAAACCTATAAATCCTGATAATTAAAGCATAATATTAAGTTCATAACTAAATTATAAGCACAAATTGTGTCTATAAGGCAAAATCAATATGGCATGCTTAAATAATGGTAATAAATATACAATAAACAAGCAGTTAGTCACTTACTCTGATTCCAGGCATGGTTCGGGTCCAAATAGGGTTCATCAGTTTTAAACGGATTATTAGGGTTATTATTCATATTATTAGGGTCAGCCTGGTCACCAGTTGGACTCTGCTGCTGCTGTTGCCCATGAACATTTGACCGGGAATGTGACCTGGCAATAGGGTTGGTGGGCACGCCATGCGGTGCCAGTGCGCTAGAGTTGTCGACCACCACGTTCTCCCTATCGTCCTCCTCGTAAAACTTGTAGCCCTCTTTGGGCTTATAGTAATTCAGGTGTACGAACGCACCCAATACTACCACACTCAGCACACCGTATAGTCTAAAAGTGATCTGGGTCCCTATAAATAAGTTTAAAGCGAGTGTGGAGTGGGTTATCATCTGTATAACAGGGTATACTTTGTTAAGATATACTTTACCCCAACGGTTGACAAACATGCCGCCAATGATGGACCCGCAGCCCCGGCCCAGTCCGTGATGTAGCCCCTGGAGCACCCCCTGAGTGCTGGACCTGAGCTGTGGCTCCGTGTGTTGGGTTATGTAACTGCACGCCGCGGCCCACACCGTCGCGTGTGTAATTCCTGGTAATTAACAGTGATAATTTAGTTATTTTTAATGATTGTAGTAAGATGATTTATTAATGTAAAGTACAACTACTAACCTTGTATCGCTTCAAATGGTAGGACCCACCAGGGATTCTGTAGCCATGATATGTACAAGAATCTGGCCACGTTACCGACCAGTCCTATGCATAGCACCTAGGTGCAACAATTAAAAATTAATTAATATCATATACTTTATCAAATAGAGTGGCCAACTGTACACACTTTTGTGTGTCCGTATCTTTTAATGATGGGATAACTGTAAAAATAGGCGCCGATCTCTGATATATGGTTGATAACCGACGCCATACCAAATAGCGTAGGCGTTCCGCCCAAGTCCTGCAGGTGCCAGAACAGGAAGGTGAACACCAGCCCTATGCCAAAGCCCATGAACCACGTGACAAACAAAAACGCAGCCTGACGTACGGTGGCCAGTGAGCGAATTACCGTCACCCATTGAGGCAGTTCGCGAGTCCGCTGGGCGAATACCGCGCTCTGCAAATTATTTGGTACATGGTTAAAATATATCATTTATGTAAATATAATATATGGTTATATATTACAGTGGCAAAATATACTTGTTTGTAAATATTCAATTATAATTCTAATGATTGTTGATAAAATTTTATCAAGTTACTATTTTTTTTGCTGATTAAAATAAAATTATTAGAGTTTAACCTAGAAATTTTAATGTGCTCAAATTACCTAGACCAGGTTTGATACAACCCCTCAATTACTCCTAATTTATAATAATAATAACATACCTTCCAGTTGTCGATAAACTCAAACTTCTTATCGGCTGCCATCAGCTCCGGGGGCTTATTAATAGGCGGAGCGGTGTTAAGCCAGGGCCGGGCCTGAGAGGCCTCGTAGTCATACGGTTTCATTTGGATGTCATCGCCAGTCAACGGCCCCGAGGGCTCGAAGTCGAACCGGAATTGTGTGGCGGCCACGAGTGCGCAGGCCATCAAAAAAGCGAATATGGTGAAACAGGTGACATAGTTGCGTTCGCCGATATGGGCGCCGCACGGGTGGTCGGTGAACTTGGTCGAGTTGTCCAGCGCCATGCCCACGAAGAACATGGTTATACCCCAACCGAATGAGCCGTACATTCGCTGTTTACCGTAATTGTCCGTGTTCTCGCCTAGGAGGGTGTGGGGGTGAACGTGCTTGGTTAGTTTGTTATTGTATTAATATTTGCGTTTGTTATTATTTTAACATTGATCACTGTTTTAATAAATTTTGTATAACTACATTTATACAAAATAGTACAGTTATAAAATTAACATCACACCATCATAAACTAACTAAAACATGATAATTATTACCATAATAACCATCTACACTACAAAATAAAAAACAACAATTCTTGTTTAAAAATAATTATAAAAATACTGGCAATAAAACATATGAAAACTAACAACATAATCTAGTGAAAACAAAATAAATAAATATAAAACTGACCCAGGTAGTTAAGTGTGGCGCAGTCGGCCAGCGTGATGGCGGGTGCGCTGAAGAACTCGCCCAACAGTATGAGCAGTAATAGTAGGAAGAAAACCTCCTTCACGTCGTCCAGCTTATAGACCACCGTTGAAAAGGGGGGCGAAACGTACGACACGTGCTTTTCCTGGTTATAGTTAAGGGTGTACTCGACAGTGAGCGGCGATTTTCCCACTATATGAGTGGGCGGGGGTTTGTGTTTAGACCCCCACTTCCGAATCCACTCGTCCTCCTCTTCCCGCCGGTCCTCTTCGTCAGTGCCTATGGTTTGGTTGTCGTAAATGTGGGGTTAGTTTTTGGTTATGTTGTGTTTAAATAGATAATTATGGTAATAAATTAGTGATTGTAATTATTTTTAAAAACATGTTAATAAAAATTATGATAGAGTTAGTTCTACTAAGTTAATACTAACAAGTTAGTTTGAAACTAGTTAATTTTTTAAAAATAGTGGTAAATGTTAAACATATTTTTGCAAAAAAATTATTCATATAACTTTTGTAAAAATAAAACTAATATTTCAATAAACACAAAAACTTATAAAGCTCATTTTCTATATTAATACAAACATTACAAATATCAAATCATGAGCATAATAATAAAACAATACAATCAAAACATACCGCGACGTTTGCGGATCAAGCTCAGTTTACTATCAATATTAGTATTCTCGCTAATGTCGGTCTCGGGCTCGGCGTTAGGGTCGGCGCCGGCGCCGGCGCCGTTATAGTCGGAGTACGGGGTAAACAATATGTGATGGGTTTCGTTGAATATAACGCAGGCGGACGCCGGCGGGCGTATGAATGCCAACGAAAACGTGAATACAATCCAACAGACGAGCGAAAACAGGAGGAATAGTTTGCTTTTGTGGAATCGGTCGGCGATCGATGACCAGAAAGGGGCCGCCAAGAACTCCACGAATGGTCTGATGCCAATAAGTGTGCCTGGTGGAAATTCATTGGCATGGTTAATTTGCATGGTTAGTTAGGCAATTTGTTTGTGCAATTAATGTAGTGATCAATCATTGCTATGATTGATATGTGTTATGCGTATAGGGAGTAGACTGTACTGTACTGTGCAATAAAGTATAGATTGTATTAATTGTGAGCGTGTTTTGAATAATGTTATATCAATGGGAAATTAGTTTACAACATCCTATTTTATTGTAACTATATTTTACTGTATTATTGATATATAACAGTAATTATCGTAATCTATCATAATCATGTATTTGTTTTTACAATAATGTAATAGTTATTGTACAGAATATTCTGTGCCCGGGGGATGTGGGGGAGGGGAGGGTGTGTGTGAGTACATACCCGCTTGAATGGCATTCATTCCCAATTGTTTGAAATATACGGCCATTAATGGGAAGAGAGAGCCAAAGGCCGAGAAGAAGAAGAAGTAAAATATCTTTGATATAAACAACTCTTTGTTGACATGAGTCCAGAGGAAGGCTAGCGATGAGCCGAACATTCCAGGGATGGGCTGTTGTTGTTGTTGTGGCGGGACTTGTAGTCGAGTAGTCTGTGTCGGACCGCCGGCGCTGTAGTCGTCGGTCGCGATCCTATTGTCGGCCATATTATTGTTACTATTGGTGTAGTTTTATATTTGATATATAATTATATAATTTATATTCATTACAATATAGAGATGTCTAACGCCCGGCATTTGAGACGACTGCAGAGCAGACACTCCAGGACTACATCCGCGCCGAGAGAGCGGTCACCGATAGGAGCGGAGCAAAGCGAGAGCAGCGGCTACGGGTCGGACCGGTGGCCAACACTGGCGGCCACTCCATCGCCGGCCGGCACCACACCGGCGTACGACCCGCAACTGCTCGGCACAGCCATAGTTCTGCTCAAACGGGAGAACCGGGAGCTGAGGGAGCAGAAGGACGACTTGGGAGTGCGAGCCAACCACATATTGATGGACAGTCAACAAAAACTGGCGGCGCTCACCGAACAGAACCTACAATTGCAGTGCGAGTCCAACGTTGCCGTAAGTATTGGTTCATTAGTAAAACGATCGCCAGATATAAATGGATTTTAGTTCATAATTAATGTCATTGTTTTGAACACAGAATAGACGCGCGAAGATAGCGGTGCGCATCAACACGAATATGGACGCGGCGTACGCAGTGGTGGCCAACCGGACGGTACAGGGAGTCCATCACTGCAACCGGCGTGTGATGAATGAGTTCGCGTCGAATGTGATGGCACTGACGGCCCAAGTGTTACGACAGCTGACCGAAGGCCACGACGCGGTGGCCGCCGACGGCCAACAAGACTTGCGCGACATGAATGCGGCCATCACTCAAGAGGCCAACGCTATTCAGGCGGCGCGCAGTATGTGTTATATGTTATTAGTATTGTTATCATTATTATTGATTTATATTGTTTTTTTCCTAACAGTCAAATGCCCTCATTGTTCGGCCGATTATTCCAGCGGCAAATGGCTTCGAAACCATATTAGAGAGAAGCACCCGGGTGTTTAGGTGGACACCACCTGTGCCGCACAAACCATAGAAAATTGTTTTAATTTTTGGTTATATTTTACTAATTATTATTTCAATAACTTTTTGTCTGATTTTTTCCCATATTTTTTGATTTTTTCTCTTGATTTATATATTTTTTCCCTTAATTTGCAATTGATTTTTCAATTTATTTGTTTGTTTTAATCATTTCTGTAATTCATTTGATTTAAACTCTTTAATTCTTTTTAATCACAACTTTTTTGCACAATTTTTTAATGTCATTTACAAACTTTTTATTATTGTATTTCTGTGTTCTGAAAACCTTTCAATTTGTTTATTTGATTAGTAAATCTATTTTTAATAATAAATCACAACATTGTATTATTCACTAATTTATTAAAATTCAATACAATCTATGACAAAATAAAACACACAGATATTAAACACACAATTAATTATTATATGAATGTAAAAACAAAACTCTTATGGCATATAATAAATGAGGAATTAATGGTGAGATTTAATTAATTTAAATAAATATAAAATTTATAAATAAATATTTAAAACTAAACACACGGTAAACATAATTAACACATAACCACTACAATCACTGCCAGTGATTAACTTCGCTAAAAAATATATAATTCTGGTCAATAAACTGCGGCACCAGTCGTACGGCGCTTTCTCGACTTTCGTAGGGCACGTGACCCCCACCACCACCAGCGCCGCCACCGCCCGCCTGGTCATCGATATCCGGGTCATAATTCTGGTAACAATGTTCACCAAAACAGGGCTCTTCACTACTGTCCTCATAGTCACTGTCCGAGTGGTCGTCAAAGTGATAGCCGAGTCCGGGACCACCGGGCGGGCCATCGGGTCCAGCGGGACCGGCCGGACCGTCGCCCATACCGGCGACTACTGGCGCCGCCACTGCCGGTGGGAACGGTATGTTTTCGTAGAAGTTCTCACCAATCATCACCTGACTGTCCAGTTCGTTACTACCAGGGTTAAATTTATTGCCACCGTCGCCCATACCATCACCCGATTTAGATGGCCAGTAGTCATCTGCGCCGCCACCGCTGCCGGGGCCGTAGAAACCGGACTTTCCGTTCTTGCATTTGTACAGGTAATTGATTTTGCGTACATCCAGATCGGACGGGCACTCGTGTCCCCTACATCTAAGATAGGGCACCGGCCTCTTGGCCACGATTGTGGCCTTTTTATTCTTGCTGAACGCGTACTGTCTGTAGTGCATGACTGACATCAGGTCGTAGGGGAAGCCGTGATCGGCCAAGTAGTCAGTCGTATGTTTACGGAAGTTGCGTTTGGCAGCTGTAGGTTAATTCAAGCAATTGTTTTAGTTTTAAAGCATTTTTAGTATAGTGTAAGGAAAGGCAGATTATTTTGCTAATCAATCATGGTATTAGCCCTTACCATCCTTAATATTGTCCCACATGATGGTGACGTGGGCGTCCCGATCGGGACGGGACTGTTCGTGTATAAAGCCTACTGAATGCATGAGTTCGTGTACCACAGTCTCCACGCTATAGCAACCTTTGCCCAAAAACAGCCACTGCTGGCCACCAATGCGACCGACGTGTGCGGCACATCCCGGCCCTCTCCTCATCCACACGTAGTCTTTGTCGCTTTCCTTTTTGGGCACAAACCGAATGCATGTCCTGTCCTGTAAAGTCATGATTCCCCGAGCGATGGCCGCCCGCTCTTCCGCCGAGAACTTATTCTCCATTATGTATGGAATGCGTCCGTTTGGCCACCGTTTCGCCGAATACATGGCCACCTGATTCATAATGATTATGGTTATAATTAACGTGTCATTCAAATATCTAGGTGCAATCGTGTGTTTAATTTAATAACAATGTAGGTGTGGATTAAGGTAATATAATTTTGCAATTTTGAAAATATTATGTTTTAATAAATTATTTCACTCTTCATTTTAAAACTCTCTCTCTCTCTCTCTCTC